GTTTTCAGATATTCATGTTGAAAGAACTAATGGGGACAAAATTTATAAACAACACAATCTGTCAAGAAACAACCTGACCATTTTATGTATAGGTGTTTTTTGTTTTGCATTCCTCCAGTCAGGGAAAATGTTCAACCAGGCTTAGCAAACTAGGATCACATTGGCACAAGAAAGCACAAGAATTAATAATTTTAGACTACAATAAAAAGCAATTGAATGACTTAGTGAAAGTAAATTCATTTGAACAGTATTTTGCAAAACTTAGTATGCATCAGAGATTAGCTCCAGAGATTCTGATTCAGTAAATTTAGTACGGACCCAAAGGCTTTGATTTTTTTTTTTTTTTTTTAAGTAGGCTCTACGTCCAATGTGGGGCTTAAACTCACAACCCCGAGATCAAGAGTGGCATGCTCTACTGACTAAGCCACAGCCAGGTACCCAGGGATTTGCTCCTAATAGTAACTGAAGATATGATAGGTAGCAAAAGTTTAAATCAATAAATAGAAAAAAAAATTAACTGTCAACTTTATCCATCCATGTTATCTTAATACTATATTTCACATGAATCCAGGTAAGCTCAATAAATGAAAATGATCGAAAATGATCACACTACAGTGTCTATAGATTTGCTCAAAACCTAGGGTCAGTCGTTCATTTTATACAGCCTGAGGCAAAGACTACATCACAGAACCTTCAAGGCCGGGCAGTTCAAGCATGCTGCGTTACATAACACAAGATATACTGCAGTCATCTTACAAAAGATAAATTCGTGGGCAGTGTTTCAGATTACAAAACAAAAACAGGATTTACTTCAAGGATCCTTTAGCACAAGGTCCCTTGATGCATTTGAAATATTATTTCATTTATACAAAACCAATTTTCACTTAGCTTTTCAGTAAGATACACATATAGAACAAAATCTATAAATGTTTGGGAAAGAGGAGGAAGAAACTCAAGAGTTTTATAAATCCTAGATGGCTGAGGCATTCTGTGCTTTAAGGTCACTGTTCTTAAAACAAAGGTAAATAATCAGCTGTAGACTTTTAAAAACATGAATTTTACCCTAAATTAAAAAATGTTGAATATAAGTAGCTTCCTATGTCACAATAAAATCATAATGCAAGCCATGAGAGATTTTTAAAAATAACCCATCACTACTCTGGTGTATTCTTAAATGTTTCTTCCCCATTATAGTTGATAGTGAAATGAAGCGCAATTGCTGATTATCAGTCTACTCTACCCTTGTGGGTATGTCAGAGTTTTGAAAGCACAGATCCTGGATCCCCTGCCCTTGGTACCTCTCTAGTTAGGGACAGCTGTGGTGCATTGAGAAGGTCATAGCAGTAGTTAGAAGCTCTTACTGAAAGACCAGTGCATCTGTATTCTTACTGCATAACCAAGCCATCTAGACCTTGGGACGTTTTTACGTGTTAGGAGTTTGAGGTATTAAGCCATTAAGAGTTATGTCAGTGTAAGATGTTACTGTATTTGCGTTAGAGATTTCTTACCCTTTTTCCTGAGGCCAAATATCTGCCAGTTCCACTACCTTTTCCTTTGTGTGCTGCCAGCTATCCCACATGTCTGATTTTCTTTCTTTTAGCATACTAATAGCTTGCATCATCATGCTTTCAGTTTCTTTACTTATTTTGAATGTTTAGTTTGCGAAATGGTATCTGTCTTCTAGTCAGGAGCAGACAAAAGGAAATATACATCTTTACTCCCATATACAGTGGTTTTATTTTAGAAAATATTTTTGCAAAGAGATATTGCTATTTCCAAGGAGTTTGTGGAGCCTGGTATGATTTCAAATAGGATTATGAAATTTGTCTTGAACGTTGAATGTAGACAAGTTTTCTTTCCTTTGCAAAATGTAATTTATGTGAAAATCTGTATCGTTTTATGGTTTTCTGGAATATTCAGGAGGGATTAGGGATAGAGACTTGATAAAAATGAGCAGATCAATAAAATTTTGTTTGCCTGTTAGCATATGTTTTGGCATCTATAGGTCAGTTTGGATAAATTACATTTCATTTTTAGTAGGAGGAAAATAGAGAAAATTATTTTCTATTAGGAAAGATATAAGAATTCAGAATTGAAAAAAAGAATTCGCAATTTAAGAAGTAATCTTGCTGAGACAAAATAAAGGAAAAAAAGAAAAAATTTATAAAGGTCTTCCCAATTACCTCTGAATTGAGCACGTGTTCAGTTGAACATGTGTTGAACATGTGTTGAACCTCGCACTGTGGATCTGTTTTATAACCCACACAATCTCAATTTAGATGGTCTTTGATTTCTTTCCTTGTGTTTCTTGATTTTATGTTCTTACCTTGGGTCTACATATATCCACTTCTTGGAAGCAACTCATCTTCACATTTACAAATGATATAATATGTTAAGAAATCTATGACTTCCTGTGCTTTTTGAACAAAGAATTTTAATGTGAGAGCCCAGAGTAGCACATAGAAAGAGTTCATTTAGCTCGTATATTATACAGATAGAAGAACTGAGTTAAATTACGGATTAAACAACATAACAAACATTTTTTTTTTCTTTTCATTCTGTTCACTATCTCTGGAAATTCTCTGGCTCTGGTCAGAGAGAAGGCTTTTAGTATAGTGTAAAGACTAACACGCTCTGAACTTTGAGAATGGTTTAATTTCACCAATTATTAGCCTTGTGTTCTTGGGTAAGTCTTGACTTCTTTGAGATTAATGTGTCTTCATAAGGTGGTTATGAAGACAAAATAAAATAATTTATGTAAAATGTGGTTTGTAAACCTCAAAACACTGCATAAATGTATCCTTTGCTGCAGCTACTGCTTTACTGTAACCATGCTGGGTCAAACTGCACTTTTCAATTCCAAACACATTCAACATTCCTGTTATTTAAATGAGAGCCATAGACAGGGAGGGAGACCTGGGGGCAGGGTGGTTCGAAAGGAAATAGGAGATTAATGAATGCTGAAAATGATAGGTTATAATTAAGGATTTTAGACACAAATATATAAATTGCAAATGTATGATAAAGATTCCAGACACAGTTTCCTCTAATAGGTTTTCACTCCCTTTTCCACCCACCCCTATGGCCCTGAACATGGCAGAATAAAAGTTATGCAAACAAATAACCCTGCATCTTCTTTTGTTTTTTCTTGTAAAAGATCCTTTGGGTTGAATTTCAAATATGAGAAATTCAAAATTCTTAGTTTATTTGGCTCTTACTGTATTAAGTCTTCTAATGCACAGAGCAGTGGTTCTAAGGTGATTGCTTCTACTTATAGTTGTTTACTTTAGATGAATTTAAAATGTTTAAGAAAGAAAGTTTGCTGCAGGATGAGAAGAGCACACGTTTGTGGGGCTCCCTGGAACCTTATATTTCTAAAAATTATTTATCAATTTTAAAATGTCTGGAAATAGATATAAAATGCTTATTTATGTGAATTAAAAGATGTTTGAATATTTGCAAGGACAACTTCTAAGAAGAAGAAAATTGCAAATGACATTTTGGTTTACATAATAAATAAAATTTTGCATCCAATTTCAGACCCACAATAATAGGTTTATAATTAATCCTCTATAAATTTGCTAACTGTGCAGAACAAAACCGCAATGTAGAGGATTAAGAGAACTAACAATAATATATTGCAAAGAAATTAGAAATCGGAAAGAATAAAGATTAAGATTAGATGTAACATGACAAAAAATTTTGAATAGCAAATAATTTATGCAAAATATGTTACAAAATCTGGTTTGTGAAATAGTTCATATAGAGACATTTAGTTTCATTTAAATTAGTAAGAGAGTTTGCTTCTTCCAATATTTTCGTTTATTTTTCTGAGTGTATCTTTTTAACAAAAATTTGCTGTACATTTTCTAAGTTCATTCTTCTTTAAGCTGCTCTTCAGTTTGCCATGATAAATCGGCATAAGACTAGACTTTTGTAGATGTAATTTCTTTGGAAGAAATAAATTAAAAGTTTGATGTTGTTTTTGACAAATTCTTTTCTTCATTGTTTTTGATTGTGTTTGACCCTTGTTGGATTGACATTTGCTCAACCTATTTTTGATGTTATGAATACAAAATGACAACATAAAAAAAAGCGTTTCTCTTAGTGCAACAGCAATCAAAACTCGTAGTTTTATATTAAAAAACACACAAAAGAATGTGTGAATACCAGAGATAAAATAACAGCAATTTCAAACAATAACCTGTGTCAAGCAAACAGCAGAAACAAGTTGATTATTTAGCCTCTGAAAAGTTAGGTTTTCATAATTTCATTTAAATTTACTTTATAATACAATTACATAATCAATATATGATCTGGGGTGGCTTCACATTACTCTGGGTTATTTTCCAGATAATTTAGAGGTGAATCTCATTATGGATGGCAATATAAACAATTTAGAACATATTAAGGATGTTTACAGTTTACTTGAGTTATAAAGTTCTCCACTATGGCTGATATCTATATTGAATGAGCTATCAATGTTTAGACTTCTTCCCCAGGAGAGAATTGATGTAGCACACAAAGTGAAAAATTTCATGTAATTCCTTTGAGATGTTCCCCAAAATATAGCCTCGCAATTCTAAATGAAAAGTCTTAAAAACCAGGCACATTTTATACTTGACTGATGGTTATTTTTAGGCAAACCACTTTAGGTTAATTAGGAGAAAATCTGCTACTGTACAATTATTATGCTCTATCCTTCCCACCTTGGCCTGAAAATAATGAGATGTAACAAGTTTTTCTTTGTCACTGGCAGCTGCACCTTTTAAGTGTATCAAAGTCTGTTGCTGTGGTTACGGCCTTTGTTTCCAGTGATATTTTGTCCATGCTTCCCCCTACCCTTAACAATGCGTTACTCAAAAGAATGAAATAATGAGTCAATTCATTCAGAAATACGTTGTTAAAATATCCCTCTTTATCATTACATTTCACTGCTTAGAAACTAGGCTGTAATTCAAGGCAACAGTTAAGTCTGAGAAGAAGTGTTAAAAAAAAATCTTTGATTTTTTTTTTTTCATTTATAAGAAAAACCTGCCTATGTAATTGAAGAACTTCTTACAAGTCTCAACAATTAAATCCTTTTTGGTTAATGTATTATTTCTGGAACAAGTAGATAAAATTCTACGCAGTAAGCATGATAAAAATCGTGCATGTTTCGCACAGCACAGAATTTTAGAGTCAAGGTTTCTGGGCACAAAAGCAGTAACAAAACAGTCCCTACAAAACTGAGTAACTCTGAATAACACAAGAAATTTTTTTTTGTTAATTTAAAATTTTAGAAACTGAAATGTGTAAAGTTTGTAAAGTAAAATGTAATTAAATTATGGTACTGTACATACCAGTTGTTTCTATAATTGAAACTTTACAATATGAAAAATACATTAGCTCTGTACAGTTTTTACAGGTAGGTAGGATGAGTTTTGAAAAAAAAAGATTCTTTTCCTTTTTTTCAGGGTCATACTCTGTTTAAGTCAAAAAAATACTGCACAACTTAGCTAATTACAAAGTGTAGACTTGAAACAATTCATGTCTTCTTTATTTCATGAATAAATCTTGGATTTTTGTTTAACAGGGGATTTTTGTTGTGTTTTGCTTTTAGAGTCCACAATGAACAAATCCTCCTCATTTTGTCCTTGAGGTTACAAAGTTTGGCAGCATCCCTTGGCTACTGATTAGCTCAGTTAAGTCAGCTGCTCTTTGTGGTCACTGATTTGGCCAGCAGTTGTGATTGTGCTCAGGTCCAGCTCAGTCTCTAGGTGTGTTTCCATCGTATCTTCCTGTGCATTCGTTTCAAAGGACTTATGAGAGAGAAGTTCATGATGCACCCCACAGTAACTTATTGTGGGCTGGTCGTATGCCAGAAAGGTTGACACATTCATTGATAAAGGTATCTGGGGAAAAAAATGACATGAGAAAAATCAGTTATAAAATGACAAACCAGTTTGGGGGCAAGATTTGGCAACTGTGAAGTTCTGACCTGATTAACCTCTGCGGTTATATCTGTGACTCAAGTGTCCCCATGCTATCCTACTAATGTCCCTTATTTTCAACTAGTAAGTACAATGCCACAGTTTTAAAGCCTAGGATGGAGCTGCTCAATTCTTAACTAAAATTATCAGATAGTAGTAGCCTCAGTGGTTCTGAAAATGCTACAAGCTTTATTGAAAAAGTCAGAAAATGATTTTCCTCACTAGGGTAAAATTGTGGTTTTAGAACTAAGAAAAGTATTATTTGGTTATGTCTGGTATTGGAATACCATAGAACAGTGGTTCTCAAACTTTATCATGTGTAAAAATCACTTCCCTCCTTCTTTACCTCCAATCCCCCACTCCCCTGAGTTTCTGATTCAGTAGGTCCAGACTAGGGCCTGCAATTTGCATTTCTTACAAGTTCCCACATGATGCCCGTGCTGTTAATCTACACACCACATTTTGAGAACCATTGCAGAAAGAATCGTCCAGGCAAGTCATTCTGGCTCTTCTTACTCAATAGTTTCTTGGTATCTATATCACTATGAAATTTTTTTTGAAACATTAATGTCTGTAGTTTAGTCCATATATCTAAAATTTAGTCTTAGGGAACTCCTAGGAAGAATCTAAGGCTCCTATGAGGGTCTAAAAAACAACGAAGGATGGTGCTAGTTTGAAGGAACCAGTGAAAAAATGAGGAAGGGACTCTCTTGCAAATTGCAGCTTAATGAAAGAAAGCAAGTTGGAAAGATCTGAGGATAAAACCAAGAGTGACCACTGTGAGCAGAAGGGAAACATATATGTTGCAGACAAAGGGTAGTCTGAAATGTAATTAGATGTCAAAATCTAGAGATTATTACCATTTTTTTCAGTGAAATAAAAACTTGTTCTAAAAAGTAGACAGACTTGAGGAAACCAGCCACGATCTCTGTTTAATATCCTAATTACTAATTCATGTTGTTCAATTGCCTTGGATAAAAACTTCTGCCATTCTTGTTTGGTGAATGGATAAAATATATTTCTGTTTGAGCATATCAGACTAAATTCCTTTCTGATCTCAGCTAAGATTAGAGCCTAAAGCTAAGAAAAAAAAAAAGTCTAGGTTTTGTTCTTTTGTTAACTCCTTCTTTACCCTTTCCTTCATGCATAAGAACCCTCTTGGCCAGTTCTCGTTCCATCCCTACCCTTCTATCCATATTTATATTTTCTCCAGTAAAAATCAGTTGAGCAGATATTTTGTTGTTTTCTCTTAAACAAAAGAATTCCCTTCTTTTGAGATTCTTGTTTGTTTTTAATATGAACCTTTCAATGTATCAAATGTGTAGCATTTAGTCCTTGGAGACAGATATATAATCCAATTCATCAAATTAAATTCCTCAACAACTCCTCCTATTGAACTTAAAAAAAATTGAAGCATGCAGTTGCTTGATGTATCAATAAAAGACATCTTACACTTTAAAAAATGGTCAAGATGATTGAAAGATTTTAAAGAAAATAATAGGATGCTTCCAAAGATGCTCATTTAAAATAAGAATTCCTGTTGTTGCTGATGAAATACTCAGATAACTAAAATGTATTATTATGCAAAAGTAATTGAGCAGCATGAATAGATTTGAGTTACAGGAGAATATGAAAATAGAACTGTTACTGGGTACATGAGTTTTACATTAGCCTCTGGGAAATCAATGCTCTGTAATGTGTTATGGGTCATATATCTGTAGGGTTTTATACAGTTGTTCTTATTTTTCATGGAAACTTCTGCTTCCTGGCTTACTTGGAATTAACTCTACTGTGAATAATTTGTAATTTCTATGGTGACAATTTATGAAAAATAATAAACCATGACACATTTAGTGTGTGTGCGTGTGTGTGTGTGTGTGTGTGGTACACACACACACACACACAATTTCTTGCTTGATTTAATATCTACAGGCTGCTGGTATCCAGAGTGCAAGTCCTAATTTGTACCATATCAGTTAGCTCTCCTTATTCATTTAAAAATAGTACATATTTTCTTTAGAGAGTTTCTTTTTTTGGATATACCTTATTTTAAAATACCTAACCCTATAGTTTTACTTTTTCAAATCAAGTCATATTTTTCACATTCTAATATTTCTGACATTGGTATTGTACTTAAAATTGGTGTGAATGTTTAACATGTATTTTCTTCTGTGCAGTTGAAAGTGACTCTTAAAGTTAATGACATCTTAATATCAAGAAAATAATATAGTGAATAGAATTTAAACAGCTAACCATATCTGAATATAACCTCACAGATTTTCTCATTAACTTAAATGATTTTGAGAGTCTAAGAGTTAGTATTGGATGTATTCACATGTATATTTGTAAGACTACATACATATATTGATGTGCATATATACACAGTATATTGCCACATACATAAATACACACACATATATATAATCTTGTGGTCAATTACTTATGATTTTAAAATCATTTAAATCAGGTATGAAAAATACAAATTTTGGTGATATGTTGGTTTTGGACAACTTCAAATAACAAATAACAATTTTGTATTTGTTATTTATATCAGATATGTATATAGATATACTACATATAATATATAATAAAGGTATATCTATTTAATTTTTAAAAAGATTTTATTTATTTATGTTTATACAGAGAGAATGCACCGGGGTGGGGGGCAGAGGAGGAGGAAAGAATCCCAAGCCGACTCCACATGGGGCTCAATCTCAGGACCCTGAGATCATAATCTGAGCTGAAATCAGGAGTTGGATGCTTAACCGACTGAGCCACCCAGGCACCCCTATTTATTTTTAAAGATTGTATTTATTTATTTGAGAGAGAGAACAAGCAGGGAGAGGAGCAGAGGGAGAGAGAGAGGGAGAGGAAGAAGCAGACTCCTCGCTGAGCAGGCAGCCTGATGTGGGGCTCGATCCCAGGACCCTGGGATCATGACCTGAGCTGAAGTCAGATGTTTAACTGACAGAGCCACTGAGGCACCCCAAAATATATATATTTATTTAAGGAAATGTTTTATTTTTTTTTCAAAATGTACTTGCTAATGACTTTATTCTTGCTCATCTTGATGCCTCTTATTCTCTGTTTATGTACATAAGCTGATTTTCAAGACTAGCCTTGGGTTTTGCTAGTGTGTTTTAATGTGTGTTTGTGGGTGGTTTAACATTTGTTTAAGTCCTACCAAACATGAGCTTTGTGTACAGGATGGTAGTTTTACTTACAGTCAAAATAGAAAGATACGTCTTTGGTATCACTTGAGTAATATTAAGAAACAGTGGAAAATATCTTCCCTACTGTCTTGATTCCCATCTTGAAAATTTTATTACTAATTCCTATTTTGGTTTCTAAGTATTGAGGCAATTGATAAAATGGAAGTGTTATATGATGAGAAATAGGGTGAGCAATTATCTTTATCACTGTAGCTTGGTTCCCTGGGAGAGTGTCAAAGTCTGCCTGGTTGTTACCTCAGGTTCTACCTTAATTTATTTAGGATTTCAGGTTTCTCTGTCTAGCTACCTGAGCATCTGTGGTCATTTGTTCCATCTCTTGGTCAACAACTGCCTGGACATGTTTCTAGCATCTTCCTCATTATCATCACTATCTTTCATTGAGCATTTACTCTGTGCTAGGGATCATGCTGCATGCTGGACTTGGGTCACCTTATTTAAGCCTTCCCAAGGGCTGCTGTGAGGTAAATATAATGATCCCCATTTTACCATTGAGAAAACTAAGACTTAGTTTATGCCGTTAGTCTAAAATCACTTAACCTGGTGAGTTGCAGTAGTTGCCTAACTTCTTAATCGCCATGCCTTACTGCTGATTTATCCCTTTATCTAACTTGCACTGTCCCTGGAGCCTAGAGAAGTGAAGACAATGTGTCTAATACTGGTTAGACACCAATTCTCAACAATCAAATCTTATTTCCAGTAGGGTGAACACTGATTTCCTGTGCTACACCATAGCTTTTTGATACTGCTATGCACATATGGTCCTCGGGAAATAAACAGTTTATCAGGGATTTATGTTGTGGGTAGATGGTAACAACTCAAAAATCAGAGCTCTCTGCTTCTTAATAAGCTCATATTGGTTAATAAAAAGTGAAAGGAGAAATGTCTAATCTGGAAAACATTCTGAATTAGGACAGGAACTTTACAGATACTCCCAGATACAAATATATGTAAGACTGTTTAGGGAGACTTTTAGGAATTTTAAAGTGAAATATCTGTGTTGTCTTGGAAGTGGGTAGAAATTTTTTCAATTATGTGATGTTAAGTTTTTCTTTTTAACAAAAATGTAAAAAGTTAGAATCTGTAATCAATCTGTAGTTTGATTATTTTGGTTTATATTAAATGATACTTGTTTTATTTCTTTCTGTATGTAGAATGGTTATAGGTAGGTGCTGGGGGAGAGCAGGAGTGGGGAAGTGAGAAACAAACATGAATAAGACACAAATTCTCTTTGGCAAAATCTGGGGGAAATAATGCAAGAGAGTGAAGGAAGATGATGGAGGGGGTGAGTTGGGAGACAAATGATTGTGTGTACTTAAAGGATTTTTTCTTGTATATATATATATATATGTATGTGTGTATATGTATACTTATGTGTATAAGCATACTGTGCTCTGATTTGCTGATTCTAATAATTATATCATTCATCCTTTATGGGTACCTAACAAACCAGCCATCTTTCTTGTTTGGAAATAATGTTATTTTCCAGATTTATTGGCAAGAGTCAATTTTGGTGAGAAGTGATTTAATATTTACTTTTATAGACTCCTCCACAGAGATAATATATTTTACTTTGAAACTGATTTATCTGCTTGAAGAACAATCTATCTCTTGGAACTCTTTAGCATTCTAATGGGTAATTCCTGTGAGTACAACAGACTGCTGGATCATTAAATTTTAATTATCTTGATC